TCTATGTGTCTCAGATGAAAAGAAACCATCTCACATATACAACTTTGAATGTGCAAGGCAAGTCCCAGTGAAATCCCGGCAGAGCAGACTTGAATGGGAATTGAACTACTATTATTTGAAATAATGACCCATCAGGGCCATGCCGTGCCGATCTATAAGTAATAAGATTTGACAAGTGGGGAAAAAAGATGAGGAAATAATATAAAAACATGGCTAGAATACTTTCACCATATTGTAAGTTATTTCCTTTTGGCAGAGAGAGGGAAGGGGACAGAAGGAGCATAGTGGAGTCAAAAAATGGAAGACGTGAAGGTTAGTTTTGTGACATGCTGGTAATGGAGAGTCAGCCATGGAATTTCAAAAAGCATGTCCCTCTTTTAGAGATCCACAATGACCCCTGAATGTTATCCCATGCACTCATACAAGAAAACTAAAATACCCCGATCAAAACACAGCTGCCCGAGACGCAAACTTTCAGATCAATGCACAGCTAGATGGGAAGTTGAAGAGCAGCTTGCAGAATTGGTCATCAGCCAGCCTGCTCCCTCTGAGCCCAGCTGGCTCCTCCAACCCTGGAGACATCGATGTTGACAGAACAGACAGAAAGCGGGTGTAAGAGTGAGGTCAAGGAAAAATACTCAGAAAGAACAGCGCTTCCATTTCCCTAAAAAGTCTGAGTTCCTTCCTCAGCTCATATGCCGCTCTGCAATGAAGTGTCTATAAGAAGCAAATGTTCCTGCTCTCGAAGCCCAGGAACCCCAAATCAGTTGATCAGATTTATATATATTAAAAATCACTCGAGGCAAAGTCTCCCATGCCCAACCACTACTCATCCTGTATGAGAACTATTTAGAAATTATAACCTACTATGTCTTATTTTGGTAGGTGGTCCTGAAGCGTTTTGAGCGAGGGGAGTTGCTGTTATCTAGTGAGTAGAAACCAAGGAGGCCGCTGAATATCCTATGATGCAGAACAGACCCACAATAAAAGATTGTCTAATACAAAAAAAAAAAATCAATAGTGGTGGGGTTGAGAAACCCTGCTTTAGGGTTCTCAGTGAATTGAGAATAACCTTTTATAATTCACTGAGCAAATAATGGCTTGGGGCTTAGTGCCCTTAGGACACGATGCCCCTAGTGCTGGGGAGTCTGATTAGAGATGAGGGAGGTATTCAAACAAATGTAACATAGCGCTTGCTAAGTGCCTAAGTGGAAAATATAAATAAATACCAGGAAGGACAGAGATTTAAGAGGGTGGGATTGGGGGATGGGAGAAACCAAGGTCACTTTTCCAAAACAGTCTGCAAACTGCATGCTTATACTAAAAAAAAAAAATAAAAATAAAAAAATCACTCATCTCATATATCAATTTGAAATAACTAGTAGAAAGGTTTACCAAATCCCCAAGTACTTTTTAAGCAATCCATCTTTGGACTTCTATATGCATTTCCTCGGTGAAAAGCAACCTACTGTTTTCTTTGTGGTTTTTGTTCCCTGTTAAGATTGTTTTTCTAACAGTGTTTTTCTAATGCCATGGAAAAGCTGCATGTCCTTCCCCTGGCCTTAGTTTATTCTATCTATACTTTTAAAATATTGATAAACATAACGTGGAATTCTGTAACTGCTAATTAACCCAACGATGCGTACTCAGCCTCTTCTATTTTGCCTCAGGTGGCAACTTAAATTAATCAACAACCCTGAAGATGGACCTTCCTGAGCATCTGTTAGCTGGCCTCCTTGTCTTTCAATATGGAGTGCCAAGTCTGTAGTAGAACATTGTCTCCATCCCCCTAGTCCTCTTTTCTGAGTTGAAAGAAGCCCTGAGACAGCATGAAGATGCTTAGGAAGGAATCTAATGAGCCTAAGGGAAAAAAAAAAAAAAAAAAGATGTTTTCCCCCAGGAAAAGTAGTGACCAGTCCAAAGGGGTTTTGATTGAAGATGCAGCTGTGTTAAATTTGCAAGACTGAAATTGCCTCCTGATCATTTCCAGGGCAGACACCATAGACACTCACCAATGCAGATGCTCAAACTGTCTGGAACACTATCGTTGGCAAATGGGAGCTCATAACTAAGACGAAAGAGAAATCAGTTATAAACAAGAACTACCCGGTGCCATACGCCTCCACAGAAAATATTCTGGGAAATCTTACAGATCCAATAGTTGACATACAGAGTGGAGGCTCTGCTTTTTGAGTATCACTGCACAATACTAGACATCAAATTGCTTCCTTGCTTGTTTTTAAGTCTGGGTTTGGATCGTGATACTTTCCAATGCTGGGATGTGAGAAATTTAACACAACCTCTCTGAGTCTGTATTTCCCCACCACAGAAATTAAGAAAATCAGACCCCCCCCACCCCGACTTCTCCCTCCTGCCCACTTCTCTCTCAATTACTCTATTCTACCAATTTGGATCCTGTTGGGAAAATGGAGACCACATCAGTTATTTTAACAGAAGGAATTTAATATGGGGAATTGATGAATCAGTTGTCAGAAAATAGTAAAATAAGGACACTGGAGGAATAGCACCGCCCCCCAGGGGCTAGGAGAGCTAAGAGTAGATGTTGGGGTTATTGGAACCTGCATGCTTGAAAGGACCTGTGGAGCTGAGACCGACTGCAGAGGAAGGGGCAGCCATTCTGAGGAAGAGTTATGGCAGAGGGTTGGGTACCCACCAATTCTGGAAAGTGCAAAAGAGAGCTGGACACTAGAACCAGTGGGTTCCTGTGGAGATGGGCCATCGCTGCTGATGCTTTCAACAAGTGCACCAGAAGCAAGTCCCCTTTCTGGCTCCAAGGTCCATCTCTCTCTGACACCTCAACCTGCAGGTGACAAAGGAGTAACAGGGTTGCAGAGAGGCCAGTTTCACAAAGCAAGTGCAGAGGAGCGGATTTGGAGCTGATACACAGATAGGTCAATAGATGCCATCCGTCCAATTATGATGCATATTAATGGAGGGATTACTGTGTGTAGACCGTGCTGGGCGCTGGGTGGTCTGGAGAATGAAGTGGAAACTCTTACAAAGTGCACAGCTCAGTGCTTAGTAGCGGAAGACCTTGACTGAAATTTAGTCTCTTCAAAGGGGAACTCTTAGATACTGTTGGCGGGAAATGAAATTAATGTAACCATTATCAATAACGGTGCAGAAAATCCTCAACAAACTCATAAAACAATCCAGTGTATGACCCAGCCATCCCACTATTGGGTCTATACAAAGGAAATTAAATATGTGCAGAGATATTTGTACTTCCGTGTTTTCTGCAGAGCTAGGCACAATAGCTATAATATGAAAACAACCTAGGGGTCCACCCATGGATGAATGGATAAAGAAAAATGTGTGATATCACCACAGAATATGATTAAGCCACAAAAATAATGAAATTCTGTTATTTGCATCAAAGTGGATGAGCCTGGAGAAGGTTAGGTAAGTGAAATAAATCAGGAACAAAAATACAGATACCACATGTACTCACTCATATGTAGAAGCTAAGAAAGTTGGTCTCCTAGAAGAAGTGATTACCAGAAGCTGGGAAGGGGAGAGAAAAGATAGAAAAGTGTTAGATAAGAAGATGGAATATGGTGTTCTATAGCCCAGTGGAGTGACTAACTGTTAACAATAATTTATTATATATTTCAAAATATCTAGAAGAAAGGACTTTGGATATTTCTAGTAAAAGAAATGATAAATGTTTGAGGTGATGGATTTGCCAGTTACCAACATTTGATCCCATTGCTCATTGTATAAACATTCCAGAATATCATATTATATACCCCTGTAAATATGTACAATTATGTGTCAATTTAAAAAAAAAGAATGAGAAAATAAATTAGTTCTCCTCTATTAGAACCAGTGGTAAACATAAAGAAAATGGAAAAAAAACAAAATAGAACAAAACAACAAACCCAAACACTGGCTCCTCCTTTTGAGGATTCTCATGTGTAGATGAAGTGTTGCAAGGATCTGGCACAGAGCAAAGCACAAAGTCATAGGTGTGCACACACTTTAAAAAGTTTTTCAGACCGAACTATTTTAAGAATTCAAAGAAACGAAAGGCTATTTTCAGGATTATCAGAGAAGCCTTCACAAAAGCTAGGAATGAACCAGAACTGAGTGTTTAGACAATGAGCAAAAAGACTAAGATCATCTGAGATGGGAGAGAGTTCACAAGCAAGTCAGGTGTGCTGGGAATTGGCTGAGTGCGTACATGGCCACCCCAGGCTCCAGGGATACGTGAGACCGAGTCTCAAGGAATGGATTTGTGACGTGCAGTTTGGAAGTTGGAGCCAGTAGAACATTTGTGCACTTACTCTAAGACATAGATGAGCATAAGTTATGTTTAAATTACATTATCATCATAGACTCTGTCATATCTAACGCAATACCCTGCACATAGTGGAATATTTGCAGAGGGGTATTATTATAGTGGATGGGAGTGGGTAGGATGGGGTGGGATGAAATGAAATCACAAACAGCAGCTCTTAACTTTGATAATCTGCACATTTTTCTCTCTGTTTCATTATAATCATCAATATTTTATGAAATGTTCTCTGCAATTAATGAACAATTTTAAAGCCAAAAGTTCAGGAGCCAAAAGAATTCAAGCAAGCTTTTTTTTTTTTCTATTTCTCTCTCAAAAAAAAAAAAAAGAATTCAGGCAGAGATAAAAATTCAGAAGATAAAGTTTGAATGACAAAATCATTCACCAGGCAAAGATGAAACCCAACGATCAAGATGCTGTCCTAATTCTGAGACTCAGGACCCTGTTGTCTGTGTAAACAGAGCCTTGGCCAGCTGAGGTGGACCAGCTCTAAGAGTGGACCCAATACTGACTTTGGAGAGACCAGGAGTTGCTGGTGAAAACTTCATGGACTTACTTTTTCTTAAAGTATTTTTGTAATATGCTTTTGAATAAATTTTAGTGAACTTGGGTTAGTTAACACAATTGTTATACAATATACACATGAATATTCTATTTTTTTTTCTTTTTTTCTTCTTGGCAGATCCTTTGCAGGATTTCGGCTTTTCTGTTGACCAGTGTTCCAGAAAATTACAACCGCATCTCAGCATTAGATTTGGCATCATTCTGAGTAAGTAGAAATGATGACCACGAAATAAAGCACGGCACAACTTCCTGCCCCACACACCAACTGACTCATATGATCAATAATAGCTGGCTAGCCCAGTAGTCCCCCACCATTCTCTGGAATTAACTCTGTTTCCACCTTCAATCCTCTTTCTGGGTAATATCCAAGTAAAGTACAACTCTCATTTAATGTTCCATTTTTCTACCAAAAAGACTCTATACACCTCTCTGGATGGGATAAGCACCTGAAATCAGTATACCTAGCGGAAAAAAAAAAAAAGAAAATATTTTTAAAATATATTTTTCAGTTTTATGTGGACACAATATTTTATTTTTATGTGGTGCTGAGGATCGAACCCAGTGCCTCACGCATGCTAGGTGAGCACTCTACCACTTGAGCCGCATCCCAAGCCCCGAGAAAATATTTTGAGACTAAGTATTGCTGTCTCTCTAGGAGAGATCCTTTGCTTATGTATCTCAGCCACAGACAAATCTATTCCCTTCCCCAAGCAGCATGGTTTGTCATTTGCATTATTTTGTGTCTTGAGCAGCTAATCCAAGTTCTTAGACCTTGACCCAGGCAAAGAGGAGACGTGCAGCCTTTCTACACAACCCAGTCAATGAGCCACAGCAATTTCTGTTGTGTTTTTTTTAATTTGATCATGCCATTACAATCGGCTTATATGTGTGCTCTAGTTACTAAATTATCTCCTTTCCTAAGACAGTTTTATCAAAACCAGAGCAGAAGGATTCCATCAACCTAGCGTGTGGGACCATCCAGAGAAACAGAGCGGACGTTCCCAGAGACCAAGAACCCACCCAACTGTGTGTTTCTAGAACTTTGCACAATGTCAGGACTCCAGCAGCATCTCAAGAAATATTTTGTGGAGAGTATGAAAGAGAGAAAAGAGGAACAGGAGTAGGTAGAACATAAAAAGGAGGAGAGAGGAGAAGGCAGAGAGCTTGGGGAAACCAGACCACAGAGGTGCCTGCGCCTGCCTAGCAACATCAGGGGGGTGTGTGGGCTGACCACACCCCACATGGCCACTAGGGATAAAGAGCACGATGGAGCTGAGAAGTTCTGGAAGCCACCTGCAGACACCTCATTAAGGGGCCAGAGCATGGAAGCTGGGCAGCACAGCAGAGGAGCCACCTTGCCCCAAAGAGGTGGCGTTTGAGAATGGGCCGGTTTTCATACCCAGGGCCATCACAGTCCCCTCAGCATGGTTTCAGTGTTGTTTTACTAGGGAAAAAAAAGTTTTGCATACAAAGCAGTCAAAGGGCATAAAGGGTCCTTGTCTCCTGCTGTGGAGTCCTAGTGATGGCTGCCTCCTCTTCTTTAGGGGAAGATATCCGGGAGCTGTTCCTGGATGTGCTCCTCCTCTCGAAAGGCGCTTCTGTTCTGAATTTCTCCTATCCCATCTGCGAGGACGATCTACCCAAGTTTTCTTTCTGTGGAAGAAGGAAAGGAGGTAAGTCATTGGCCGACCCAAGGCTTACATCCAAGGTCAGAACCCCGGGACCCAGCCCACTGTCTGTCCACCCCCTCTCCCCCATCCTGGGACAAGTTGAGCCTCACTCATCAGCACCTTTTAGAAACAAATCACAAGAATCGCCTCCCCACAGGGCTGTCATGAGCCTCAAAAATGAAACGTTGTATAGAAGATGGTCTCCAAACGGGATTGTTCCTGTGGATAGTGGCACCTTAAGAAAAAGGCTAGAAGAAGAAGGGCCCCATCGCTTCCCCAAAATCCATGAAAATTCAATGCTGTCCCCAGGTTCGATGATTGGTGCAGTCTTGTTGACAAAGCAATAGACTTTGAAAGAGGAAAGACAGTGAGACTCACCACATCTCACTGCTTTCCCCTGCGGGCGGTTGATTGACAGGGCCTTCAGGTAGCTGGACAGGAAGCAGAGAAGCCGAAGTCTTATTACATCAGCTCCTTTCCTTCAGTTCACTAATCTGCTACCCCTCCTCCATACACAGCCAAGAGCAAGCCTGTCCCCACCCCTCCTGTCCTTGTCCTCACCTGCCAGTCAAACCAAGCCTCCTTGTTTTGTTGGGACAAGTGCATACCTGGTGTCTGAGTGGCAGGCCACTCCCCTCGTGCTAGGTGCATGAGCAGCAAACGGCTTATCCTGTAGGCACAGCCCTGGGCGTGAGGCTGCGTGTTGCAATCCCTGTGCTTGCTCCATGGCCCGCTCCTCGATTGGTCACTGCAAGGACAGTCAGCAAGAAATTGCACTGGTGGCTGCCTGTCATCTGCTTAGCTACTGCCTATATACACATGGTAACTGTGCAATGAAATCAGACCTGCTTCCTGCTTGGTCTCCGGAGGTCTCAAATAGTGACCCCACAGCCACACTCTCCTCTACCCTGTTCCGTGGACCTTCTCGCTGGACGAGAGAGAGCCCACACACTTGTTTAATTAAAATGTGGGTCAGCTCTACAGCTGACCTCCTCTGGTTAGTTGTTCTCCACTGGCTAGTCCCCCTCCCAGGGACTCCTTCCTATTCTCATTGGACAACGGGGAGCATAACCCAAACCCACACTCTGGAGTCATCCTCCTGTCGATTTCCCTTCTCAAGGCAGCTAGGGTTGTAAAACAGCAAGAATCCTTGCAAAATGCCCAATTTTCTTTTTTTGGGAGGGTACCAGGTATTGAACTCAGGGACACTCAGCCACTGAGCCACATCCCAAGCCCTTCTTTTATTTTAGTTGGAGACAAGGCCTCACTGAGTTGCTTAGCACCCCGCTGTTGCTGAGGCTGGCTTTGAACTGTCAATGCTCCCACCTCAGCCTCCCGAGCCACTGGGATGCCAGGCGTGTGTTACACGCCCAGCCCCAATTTTCCTTTCTAAGTGAAAGATCTAGAAGCAATCGGAGTCCCCTTCCTAGACCCAGGGATACAGATAAAAGATGTTTGTGCAAGAAAAGAAATCAGGGAACTTAGAGGAGGGTTGACCAGAAGGACGTCTGCAGAACTTCACTGGGATTTGCAAGTGACAGTTCTTACAGCTCTGCTCCTCAGCCTCCTTTCTCCCATAAGTGTGTGGCAGACAACTCACTTGCAGCACCCGCCACATGGTACTGTACCCACTTACCCCTGTCTGTCATCCCCAGCCGACTACGGATTTCCCAAGTGTGAGCAGTATCACCTTGGTTACCCTCTACAGTGGCCCGTAGGCACCAGTGGAGGACCGGCTCCACGACACCTGGTAATTACCAAAGTCTGTGGATGCTCCAGTCCCTTAGACAAACGGGGTGGTGTTTGCACAGAACCTATGCACATCCTCCCATATGTTTTAAATAATCTCTGGATCACTTGTAATACCTAATACAATGTAGATGCCATGTAAACTGTTGTTATACTGTATCGTTTAGGGAATAATGACCAAAAAAATTGTGCCTGCTAAATACAGATGCATTTTCTTCCAATTTTTTCTATCTGTGGTCAGTTGAATGTTGGGATAAAAAATCCAGAGATAAGGAACTCACAGACACAGAGGGTGGACTGTATCTCAAATGTGCCTGAAATGTGGGGATCATTAACTACAAACACATGTGTGTGTACATACACACACACACACACACACACACATACACACTGAAGTGGTAGCATGCCAGTTATGCATTACATGCACATCTGGAATGCCACACTATGCCCCATATATATATATATATATATAATTACCATGTCAATTAAACACATATATCTTAAAAATAACGATAAAAGAGAGCATAGACCTGATTGTATAGAATGTTCTGGAGGAATTCAAATCATATTGAGATGATGATTAAATAATTCCCACCCAGGAAAGGCTAACCACTTAATAGGCTGTCACCTATGGCCAACATCCATTGTCCTATCTCAAGCCTCTTGATTATATTTCCAGTTTTTTTTTTTTTTTACCAAATAAGGGAGCTTGAACCCAAATGTGGAGATGGGTCACCTGGAAGTCCTACAACTTAACAAGAAAGGACAGACACTAGATGTCTTTCCAGTCCCTAGATCAAGTCCCTCTCCACCACTGACACAGCTGCCAGCTAACTCTTGTAGACAAAGCTCTAGAAAGGTCACCTCCTGCCCAAAGGACTTCAAGAGTACCTTTTCCTGTAGAATAAAGACTGTCATTTTATCCATGTTTTTAAAATACATTTTTTCATCACATGGTGATCCTACATATTTATGGGGTTACACTGTGGCATTTCAATACAAGTACTCAATGTCTCATGATCAAGTCTGAGTAACTGACAGATCTATCACCCTCAGGTACAAAGTAATGCTGGAAACTTTCAAAATCCTCTCGACAAGCTATTTTGAAATAATCAATTAAGGGTCAATCATAGTTCTCCTACTGTGCCGTAGAGCACTAAGACCCATTCTCCTCTCCAGTAGTAAACTCTCTACTCTTCTTTCCTCAGCCCACATTCTTTTCTGGCTCTAATAACTATTACTCTATTCTCTACATCTTTGAGATCGACATTTTAGCTTCCATTCATAAGTGAGAATAGTAACTATATTTCTGTGCATGATCTCTCTTTACATAGTGTCATCTACTTTTACCTATATTGCTGAAAATGGTAGAATTCTGTGCCTTTTCATGGCTGAGTAATATTTCAATGTGTGAATATATGTGTGTATGTGTGTGTGTGTGTGTGTGTGTGTATATATGTGTGTGTGTGTCACATTTTCTTTATCCATTCATCTGTTGATGGCCACCTAGGTTTATTCCAAAGCCTGAGTTATTTTGATGACCAAAGTACATCATACATTTGACTATCCCTCCTCTCTAGCTACATTTCCCTCCATTCCCCATATGCACCATTAACAACCACCTCGACAAAATATCGCCATGTTCTGACCAAGGCCTGCACATTAACACGTACAACATTGTTTAGGTGGTCCCCTTGGCCTGTAAAGCCTGCTTCCCACTTTTCTTCTTCTGTCCAGATCTAACCCAAGAAGCCTCCTTCAAACCCAGACAAATGAATTGCTCCCTCTCACTTCTCCCAGAGCGTCATGTTCTATTTCTGCCACAGACCTTAACTCAGCTGGACGTGTACTTGTGAGTGTGTCCCCCATTAACCTTTCTGCAGACAGGGCATAGAGAGCTGACGGAAAAGATTTAATAAATATTTGGATTGTATTTGCATACGGACACACGACTGCTTTGAACACAGACCTTACAGCCCACCTCAAAATGACCATCTCATGATGCGTATGCACAGCACAAAGACACAAAGCAAACAGTAAATTCACTGGGTCCCTCAAGCTTAAGAAAACCTTATTTTTTTTATTCCTCTATTCATGCCCTTAATAGAATTAATACAATAGGAGAAATACTGTTCCCTCAAACGATTTGGGGTGTCTAATTTGGTATACCAGCTCAGAAGCTTGTGTTTACCTCATTTGGATGCTGGGCAGCTCCGCAGCCATTTATTTGCTTTATTGCTATGGGGATGATACTGCATAGGCAGCTGAGGAGCTGGCATTGGGGGACCTGCCAGGAAATTTCAGATAGTGCAAAACAATCCGAAGAGCAATATACAAATGTTGCATGCACAAATGATTATGTAAATTACATAAGCCAGAGAAGCTAACATTTTAAATTCAGAGGCTTCTTGGGTTATTAAATTGTTTTAACCCACCCACAAATCCACCACAGGAAGGATTCTGTTCCAGAGAAGTGACTGACACTAGGACGAGAAGGGGAAATGACACCAGAGACACAGGGAGAAGTGAAGCCAGTCCAAACCCAAGCACAGGCTGCTGTGACATATCATGTATGAAACGGTCCCAGGGACCTGCAGGTTCTTCCTAGCAGAATAGTGAGAAAACTCAGTGTCCACTGTGGGCGGCACACTCTGGCGTCCACTGGGGTTGAGTGATTGCTATCATTGCCACCACATTTCTATGCCTCCCTCTGCAAACTGCATCTCACTGGCTGTCCTCCAAGGCAGATGAAAACTACAAAATTGGTCAGGCTTAGTGAGACTGCAAGTATAAAATAATGTCTCCTTTTCCTCTGGGCTTCCCTTTGCTAGCTCTAAAGCAGGAAGTATATTGGATCCAAAGACCAAATGATGCTCTTCTGGCAGCATTATTAATGGGGTGATTGACAACTGGGAAAAAACAACCTATGTGTCCAATAATAGGGGATTCATTAAGTAGGTCATTGTTTAGCCAAACCAAGGAGCCCATAATATGCTGTGATTTTAAATGATGTCATAGGGATTATTGAATAACATGAAAATATAATAATATTATTAAGTAAAAAAGAAGCAGAATATCTCTGTTGGTCCTGTTTTTTATTTAAATGTGTGCAATGTGCAGTTGAATACACGTACCTCATTTTATCGTACTTCACAGATACTCATTTTTCACAAATTGGTGGATTCTGGCAACCTTGCATGGAGCAGGTCTATAGACACAGATGTGCCCACTCTGTATCTGTGTCTCACACTTTT